TATGTCCTCCATAACTCTAAGTACACTGCTCTGACACTTCTTGGCACGGAGTGTGCAAGTTCATGACACATTTTCACATCTGTGCTGTTTAACTCCTGGAGGACGACCTCCTTAAATGCCCTGATCTTTAATGTGGAGTGTTGCTCAGCTCGTCTACAGAATCTCTCACAGCAGCTCAAGAGTGTTAAAATTGAGTGAAATACATGTCCACTGAAGGATTTTCAACTCCGAAGAATGAATATATTCATGGTCATGCTGAAAAAATGCCCAACAATGCAGGGAATGAGAAGAGGGTAGCATCTTCAGTTTCAGGTTTTTGTATTACATCACACAGTGGTGTGTGAATTCATGACAGCGTTGATAAAGTACAACTCCCTCACACCTTCAGCACTCATACATCCCTATAGAAGAACTTTACTACCACTGAATGCCACTGTGGATACCAAGCACTTCTCTCTGTACTCCTCCTCTAGCAACACCAGAACATTTTGGATGCTGTTAGATCCGAAATGATTGAATTGGTCTCATGAGACCAGAGTATGGATTCCCAGAAGTCTATATTTTGTAAATATGGGCCTTGGAAAAAGCTAAATGAGTTTATTGTGCTTTGGCTACAGTCGGTAGTTCTGGTGTGGATAAACAACCATGCATGTCACTTCTGCATGCTGCATCTTACTCTGTGAGATAAAGTGACACTCTTTTCACAGCTTTTGCTGGCTCTGAGACACTTTCACAGTGTTTCTCCTGCTCTTTTTCTAGCAAAAACTCACTCATTACTAAATGAAAACTTAAAGTGAAGACCTGATTATTTCAGGAGCCTTTTCACAACTCCATTGTTTTTTAATTGCTGTGTTACTTTGGCTATATTTTCACACTTAAAACAATAATTTGGTATTCCTCTTTTACCATTGTCCTCTTTTATGCCAAGAAATAAATCTCCTGACAGTTCTCTCTCAAGTGGTCTCATTGTTGTCAGCATTAATTCTGAGTATGATTCAGTGGGCCATATAACACTTAATTATTTAAAAATATATATATTCTTTTTTTTTTATTTAGCAACTTTCAGGAGGGTGTACTCAATTTTGCAACACAACATTTTATCACTTTGATAAGAAAATTATCAAGCAGACTTGCTGGAATATTATATCTCTAAAAAACCATAACATGTCTTCTAAGCAAAGAGTAATTGGTGAATTTGTTAGGTTTCAGAGGGGGTGTACTCATTTATGCTGTGCACTATATATTCTATTATACAGAGATTTGTAAAATAAATTTCCACGACTTTTCCAAAGCTTTCTGGGTTTTTCATAACCGTACGAACCCTGTAAATGGCTATTTTTATTTTTTTAAATCGTTTTGATGAAATTTCTGCTCCACTTTGTGTGGAGGTAGTGAGATGGGACAAAGTCCCTGTAAGAGGCTATTCTATAGTCTTTGGACGGGAGAGATCGCTCAAACCTCTTCAGATTAATTTAGTGGAACATTAATATAATATAGAATCATCCTCTGTAAAGAAGTGAGGCATGAACGTGAGAATTTATCATTATCTTTGTAAATGTGCGCTCTTTTGGGCTAAAGGCTTATTGAAACCGTTTAAAGTAGCCATGTGATCACAAATTAATCGGCGATTCGGCGCAGCGCAGAAGTGATTTAATACGTGTCCTTTTTCTATGTGAAAAAAAATAATAAATTCCAGTTTATGCTGTTTGATTATGGCTTTGAATGTCGTAGTTGGAAGCTGGAAGCTGTTAGCCGTGTGCGCAGTTGAAATAGTTTCTGACTGGCACATAACTGAACAAATGTAAACAGGTTAAGGCGGGGCCCCCGGGCAGCAGCCCATTCAATCCCAATGGTAAGTCCGGCCATGACCTCAATCAAAGTAAGAGATCTAAAGCAGTGGTTCTTTCTTTTGACGCTGAAAAGGCCTTTATGTGATAAGTGCAAGAGCTCAGATGGCACACGTGCTCATACTTTTTGGTTTTGCCATAACATTTCCGAGTTTTGGAAGAATATCTTTCAGTGGTACTCGTTTTTGGAGAAGATATCAGTCCAGATATCAAGTTAGCTTTGCTTGGATGTTCTGACCCTATAAATAGCATTAACACATTCTCAGCAATCGTCTCTTATGTTTGGTGTGGTGGTAGCTAAAAGGGTGATTTTGATGGATTGGAAGTCCACTTTACCACCCAGTTTCAATAAATGGCTCGCTGAAATGGTTCGGTGCTTCTAAATCGATGCTTCTAAAAAATTTGATAAAATCTGGGGCCTCTTCCTTCGGTATCTTTTTAAGAGTTGAAATTTGTTTTTCACTGAAATGTTAATGTTTTGTTTACGTTTGATTAAGTATGTCCTTAAGGTGTTTTTTTTTTGTTTTTTTTTTAATTATATCTGGTGCATGTTGGGATGGTTTATATATATATTTTTTTACATATGGTATATTTTTGTATATATTTAATTAGACATAGATTTGTTTTATGTTTGTATTAAAACTGTTATAAATAAAATATTTAAAAAGTAATGAAGTTCCAGTTAATCCTGGTCATTTGTTGACTTCTTTTCTTCATCTACTCCACATGAGTTAAACAAAATGCATTTTTTTATTTTAAAGTTCACATTATAGATAAATTACATATAGAGTATCTACACAACTAATTTCAAGCATAAACTTTTAGACCAAAATAATTTAAAGTTAAGACTATTAAAACACAAACTCAGTCAACTGTCCAAACTTCTGATTGGTAGTTCATGAGTTTGAGAGTTTATGCTGTCAAGGATTAGCCTGGCACACACCTCTTCCTGGCTGATGTCATCCATAGTTCCTGATCGGAGGGGAAGTCTGATGTCCTGCATCTTACAAGCCTGCAGAAGATTGTGTCTGTCACTACGTTTTTGCTCCAGCTTGGTCTCAATGGCTGTCACCTCCTTCTGCAGCTGCGTCAACTCCCTAGACAAACACAAACGTTTTTCCTCACATCATCATACTAATTTTCTTGAAAAACATCCATGAATGTCTACAATAAAACAATGAAAGGGCTCACTTGTTGGCACCCCCCAGTTTCTTGCGGATCTCCTCCATTTCATGATTTTTATCATTAACCTCAGATTTCTTGGCCAGGTGCTGGTTTTTCAGATCCTGCAGCTGTGCCATGGTTTCATCAATGATCTTCATGTTCCTTTGCTCTTCCTGTTAGGAAATATTAAATGAAATTCAGTGAGATCGAACATTATTTCTAGGCTTAATAAGAGTATCATTACGAGAGTATCTGAAAGTTGTCTACCTTCTTGAGTCTCTCTATCTCATTCTCATCTTTCTTGACCGTCTGTTCCCACATGATCACCTTCTCCTTGTCTTCCTTCAGCTGGTTCTTCTCATAGTCCAGCTGGATAGCCAGACGTGTCTTCTGAGTCTCAAACTCCAGGCTACCAGAGAGTTTGAGGAAAGGATTAATCATCAGTTACATCAACTATTTGCATCTGATTATAACAGTTAAGTACTCCCTACAAATTCTAATTGACAGATTTAAAATAATAATAATAAAGATAATTCCAAATTTGGTTGGAAAATGTGCAGAATTTATTTATTTATTTATTTTTAAAGATCAATGGGGTTTTTTTAATGACCTCACCGTTTCTTTGCAATCTCATTCTGTCGCTTTACTTTCTCTTCTTCAAATTCACGAATGTTACGAACTCCAATCTCTTTACAGAACTCTACAAAAACCTCATCCTCCACCTGGAATGAAAGACAAACACCAACAAGACTGAAGACAGGTGATAAATTAACCAAGGTAGAGTTGTTTTCAGATAACTGTGCTGTGTCCTACCAGGTTCATGCGGTCTTTCAGGTCTTTCATCTCTCTCTCTCGTGACTGGATGATTCTCTTAATGTCATTAATGCGTGGAGCAAAGTTAGCAAGTTCACTTTCCAGCTTTGACTTTTCCTGAAATTACCCCAATAACAAAATGTGTGACAAATATCTCTACTGCATTTAAGTCATTTCTGATGAGAAAAGTAAACAAGCAGCAAAACAGAATAGTTCTGACTCCAATTTTAGATGGGATGGGCCACATTCAAAGCTGCTACAAAATGCCATTACATACACAGCTGTGACTAAACACCAGTTAAACTCAAGTAGTAGTATATATTTATTTAATGCCATGTCAGCATCAAAGGCTATTTTCATGGCCCAGTTAAGTTAAGTTAAAATCCAAAGTTGTGCTTGTTAACATTAGTTAATGCACTGTGAATTAACAAACTTAAAATGAACAACTGTATCTCCATTAACTAACATTAACAAAGATTAATAAATACTGTAATAAATATATTGTTCATTGTTTGTTAATACATTAACTAACATTACCTAATGGAACCTTATTGTAAAGTGTTTCCAAATTTTTGCTTATTAATATTATTATTGAACATTAGTGTCTTATTTCTTCGACTTTTTATAAAAGCAATAAGCAGCGTTTTTGTGGCAGCAGTTTGGAACAACACAAGTTGACTAAGTGGTGGGTACCTGCATGTTAAGGGACAGGTGTCTGGTCTTGGTTTGCTCCAGATCACTCTGAGAGTATTTGAGTCTCATCTGCAAACCATGAGCTTGAGACTGCACCTGACGCAGCTCTGCCTCCTTTCTCTTTGCCTTCATTTGCTCCTGATATTCACACATAAACATCAATCCAATCAGTCAACGACAAATCTCCTTGCCCATATCACATTAAGCATCCTTCTGATTCAGAATTACTTACTTTGAGCTCATCTGTGAGCTTTTCCTTTCTGTCTTTCAGTTTATCAACGGCTTTCTCATCCCAGCGCCGAGCTTTGGCCTTCAGATCACTGGCACCTCCGGAGATCACTCCAGACTTCTGGAATAATGTCCCATCTAGAGCCACAGTCTAAAAAAAACATCCAGAACTAATAACTACCAAATACAAACCAGACAAAACATATTTTTTTAGATTTCCCACAAAAAGTGAGTAATTCTTGTCTAAGAAATAAAATTCTAAGGTATTGGGGTTTCTAAGGGGTTCGCAGTAGTCGCTGTGGTGTTACAGGCTTTAGACAGTACATCTATGGACTCCTTGTAGTCCGGTCACCAACAATCTACTGCATAATACACTCAAAACCTATCCGATAGCTGGATTTTTTTGTGACGTGATTTTTTTCCCTTTGTACCTTGTGTCTGTATGGTCCTCCAAAGGCGATCCTGCGAGCATCCTCCACGTTCTCACAGACCAGGGCATTTCCACAGGCATACTGCAGGGCTTTCTTAATGTGTGGTGGCTCGTAGCGAATTACATCAATCACCAATTTAGCACCACGCAGTTCACGGAGTTTCTCATCTGTGGGCCTGACCTATTTGAGGACATTATAATACATGAGCCAACTTGCTCAAGCACAACACATTCGGTGAAAAATAAATCCAGTGACATCACCTCCAGGTAGTCTAGGGGCAGGAAGGTCTCGGGTTCCCCACGCTGCTCTTTTATGTACTGGATACAGTCACGACCCGTCTTCTCAGAATCCACAATGATGGCATCCATGTTTTTGCCCAGAACTTTAGTAACAGCAATCTGAAATTTCTTCTGTGTGGGCTGGCACAGGTCAATCAGTCTCCCGTACTGGAAAATGAGATGACCATATGTGAGCATCCAGCTATATAAGACACATATATGCAATGACACTGTGAACAATAAGAAATCGCTTCTCACCACTGATCCAGGATACAGCCTCTTGATACTCTCAAGGATCTCAGCCTTACGCTGTTGTCTGCTGTTCTCCTGTCTGTCGATACGAGCATCACCCAGCTGCTCCATCACCTGCATGAAATATATCATAGAGTTGAGCAAATGATGGCTTTTTTTTTTCCATTGAATAACCTTTCATTCTTTCCTCTCAAAGCTATTCTGCACCTGTTGCAGAGTTTCCATCAGTTACAGAGTGATTAATGCACACCTCATCAAAAGTGTCATTCCTGCCATGGTTTTGGATACTCCAGAATCTATCAATTAGGTTAAAAAATGCCATCAAAACTTCTCAGAAGACAATCAGTTTCTTTCAGAGATGCACTCATATAAAGCCACCCCAACAAAAACTCCTCATTTGCATGAATCATGAACTGCAATATTTTTTTTTTTTAAGGGCCGGATATGGGCAGGATTTATTCATGTAAGTACAGTTTACTTTGTCCACTGTGACAACTTATTTTCTCAAAGTATTTGAGGGAAAAAATGGTAATAAATCACTTTGGTTTACTTTGGAGTCTGTGAGCTAAACCAGAATCTCACAATGATATGACTGCATTTTTGTCAATGTATATGATGAAGTATTTTAGCGCTTGCCTTTCTGAACTCTTACCTGGTTAAGCTCCATGTTGATCTCATCTATTCTTCGTTTGGCCTGTTCCACCTCTTCTGTGAGCTCCTCCTCCATCCTCTTCTGCTCATCCAGAGACTGTCTGGAAACAGAAAGAGAAAAAAAGCAATGACACACACACTAACAGCTGTTTGCCGAATCAGATGTGGCTTTATGAAGTGTTTGTACCTGCTGGTGGTGATGTAATCCTCCAGCTTCTCAATGCGCTTCTGGTTCTCCTCAATTTCTCTGATCTTCTGCTTGATCTTGGCCTATCGATAACAACAATCACAACAAATCAAGCTGCTCTGTTTGTTTATTTTCACTGTATAATTAAGTCTTCAGAAACTCTTTGCACCTCTGTTTCTATTTTCTTCCTCTCCTCCAGGTCCAGACGGTCCTGGTCAGCTTTTTGGTCTCTGTTGAATTTCTCCAGCTCTTGAGCCAGTGTAGCAGCTCGCTTGCTCGCCTCCTCTTTCAGACGGTGATATGCCTTAACCTAAACACAAACAAAGACAACAGTAACTTAAACTCAGTATTGTGCATGGTTAAAGAAGCTGTTATTAAAATTTGTTTAGGATGTTAAAGTTGTGTAGCGCATTCTAGCCTTTACTGATTGTGCACATATATTTGTGTGGCTTAATTTTTAAGACAAGCAAGTTACTGGCAGGATTAAACAGGTTATTTTTCACTAATATTAAAATTAAATGATAAAAAGTGACAAACATTTGTTTTTCACACTAAATTTCCTTTTATGAAAGCACATAAAATTATTTTATTAATTAAAAACAATTCTTGAAATTAAATATCAGAACAATATCTTGAGGTGCAGAAACAGTGCAGACAACAGAAAACTGTAGCACATAATCAAAGGCAGTTGGCCAACTCTGTAGGCGCACCAGGGCGGTCTAACAAAATTAAATTGCACAGGCAAATAAATATGCTGCATTTTTCACAGTATATAACCCTCAGTCAGCTGTACCTGGTTCTCTTCCAGCTGTAGATCTTGTCCCTGACTTTGAGCCTCCTCCTCCATTCGCTCCTCAAACTCCTGTCTGGCCATCTCCACGGCCCCCTGTTCACGGTCTAGCTCCTCCATGTCTGCCTTGCGTTTTTTGTAGCATTTCTGGGCGTTTTGCAGCGATTTACGGGCAGCCTCTAGTTTCTTGATCTTGTGAGCAGTGTTCTCCTTGGCTTTAATGTACAGAGGCCTCTTCTGATTAAGCTCTGCATCCTTCTCCCTGTCAACATGTCAAACAAAATTAATTATCTATTAGCTGGGCTCTAATTACATATTATAATGTGTGATAAATCAGAGACAAATTTTCATCTTCTTGGCCTGCCCTGATCAATTCTGCAAGAGCTCAGGACTAATTTCAGAGCATATTAGAACTTAAGAATGCTCTGCTTGGTCAGGTAATGACTAGAATCTGCCAGTAATCATGTCCTATTTCACCAATTTCACATTGATTACATTTTGATTACATAAAAGATGTGGGACTACTTTAAGACTTCAGGAAAGAAAAATATGCACTGTAAAATAAATATATCAAATGGTGAATTTAAAAAGTAGGGATGCAATAAAATAATGATAATCATGAAAATAAAGAATTCAGTATCAATTAATTGGTTTGGTATGGGTGTGCATGTAAACCCTCCAGCAGCCATATCATTTCTCAGAATTAATGCATTTCTGCATACAAAACATTTGAAAAATAGTGAGCTGCTGTGGGAAAAACCAATGACCCAATTTGCCCAAAATATTAGTTTTATATTCAGTTTTACTTTTTACAACCCAAGAAATTTCACCGTACCAGACAAGCTGGGAAGCCTCGCATCAATACCACCATGATGCAGCATCCAGAGAAAGTGGAAGATTTTGCCAAATCTTTTGAAGATGCTCTATCTGCAGAAAATTTGCACAACCCTATCTCTGAGTAATGGGACCACCACCAGGAGACTATTAAGAAAACAGCCTTCACAGTCTTTGGGAAGAAGACCTCCAAGAACAGTGATTGGTTTGAAGCCAAGTCCAGTGAGATGACCCTGGTTATTGAATCAAAACATGATGCACTTACTGAATACAAGCGCTCACCAAGTGTGAAATCCCTCCAAGCACTCAGAGGCTGCATTTACACTGCAAGTCTTAATGCACAGATCCGGTCTTTTGACCATATCCGATTTTTTGGCCCATCTGTTTACATGCACATGGTAGACCCTCGGGTTTTGAATGGCCATGCTATTAAAATTATTTATATAATTCATGTCGAGTGGCCGTTATTATTTGCCAGCATGTACGGCTGTCATGGATGTTTTGCAGCACAAAATCTGACTGAACGGATAAATAATGGGAAATAACGGTAATTTTAATTTGTTAGGCTATTTTATCTACAGCTCGTTAGAAGTAGAATTCTTTAGTGAAATAAAGTAGTGCCAAGATGATATTTAATGAAATTAATTCAAATGACGAGAGTGAGAGAGAGAGAGAGAGAGAAAGCACAAGTGAGTGTGAAGCTTGCGAACAAGTGAAGCTTGTTGGTTTAATTACAAAAACTGTTTAAAAAAGTTATCACCTCATTGCTGAGAAATATAATGTAGCTTTTGTTGTATTTATAAAATTCACAGGGCAGGGGTTGAAAACCAGCTCCTGAATGTACAATTTCTTACCTATATAAAGTTTCCATCTCAATAAAATGCAAGCACATACAGCACACCGTTGTTGCACCAAATTCTGTGACCCACTGAATTATGTGACCCTAGTAGGCGCTGTATTGAGCTAATCTGAACTGCTCCTAAACCCAATCCTAATCCTAAACCTACCCTCACTACAGTGCCAACTAGGGTCACACAATTCGGTGGTCACAGAATTCAGTGCAACACCGGCATTAAAGGGGTCATATGATACTGCTAAAAAGAACATTATTTTGTGTATTTGGTGTAATGAAATGTGTTTATGCGGTTTAAGGTTCAAAAAACACATTATTTTCCACATACTGTACATTATTGTTTCTCCTCTATGCCCCGCCTTTCTGAAACGCGTCGATTTTTAAGACTTCAGGAAAGAAAAATATGCACTGTAAAATAAATATATCAAATGGTGAATTTAAAAAGTAGGGATGCAATAAAATAATGATAATCATGAAAATAAAGAATTCAGTATCAATTAATTGGTTTGGTATGGGTGTGCATGTAAACCCTCCAGCAGCCATATCATTTCTCAGAATTAATGCATTTCTGCATACAAAACATTTGAAAAATAGTGAGCTGCTGTGGGAAAAACCAATGACCCAATTTGCCCAAAATATTAGTTTTATATTCAGTTTTACTTTTTACAACCCAAGAAATTTCACCGTACCAGACAAGCTGGGAAGCCTCGCATCAATACCACCATGATGCAGCATCCAGAGAAAGTGGAAGATTTTGCCAAATCTTTTGAAGATGCTCTATCTGCAGAAAATTTGCACAACCCTATCTCTGAGTAATGGGACCACCACCAGGAGACTATTAAGAAAACAGCCTTCACAGTCTTTGGGAAGAAGACCTCCAAGAACAGTGATTGGTTTGAAGCCAAGTCCAGTGAGATGACCCTGGTTATTGAATCAAAACATGATGCACTTACTGAATACAAGCGCTCACCAAGTGTGAAATCCCTCCAAGCACTCAGAGGCTGCATTTACACTGCTGCACAGATCGCACAGATCCGGTCTTTTGACCATATCCGATTTTTTGGCCCATCTGTTTACATGCACATGCGGGTTTTGCGGGTTTTGAATGGCCATGCTATTAAAATTATTTATATAATTCATGTCGAGTGGCCGTTATTATTTGCCAGCATGTACGGCTGTCATGGATGTTTTGCAGCACAAAATCTGACTGAACGGATAAATAATGGGAAATAACGGTAATTTTAATTTGTTAGGCTATTTTATCTATTTTGAGCTCCAGGATCACAAATAAAGTAGTGCCAAGTTGATATTGATTGAAATGAATTCGAATGAATTAACGAGAGAGAAAACACGCGAGCGAGTGTGAAGCTTGTTGGTTTAATCACAAAAACTGCCAAGTTATCACCTCATTGCTGAGAGATATAATGTAGAGTTTTGTTGTATTTATAAAATTCACGGGGCAGGGGTTGAAAACCAGCTCCTGAATGTACAATTTCTTACCTATATAAAGTTTCCATCTCAATAAAATGCAAGCACATACAGCACACCGTTGTTGCACCAAATTCTGTGACCCACTGAATTATGTGACCCTAGTAGGCGCTGTATTGAGCTAATCTGAACTGCTCCTAAACCCAATCCTAATCCTAAACCTACCCTCACTACAGTGCCAACTAGGGTCACACAATTCGGTGGTCACAGAATTCAGTGCAACACCGGCATTAAAGGGGTCATATGATACTGCTAAAAAGAAATAAAATGGAGAATAAAAGTTACGCCTTCTTTCTTTGCGTGAACATTTGGGCGACGTTATGCAAATCTTCCCACATCGTGACGTAGACATGTGGGGGCGTGTTAGAACGAGTCGTTTTAGGTAGGCGTGGTTGACTCTTAACTTTTATAAAGAATATCTCTTTGGATTTGAGACTTTAGTCTTTGCAACTTTACAGATCTTCTTTATGCACCAAGAGCTTGTAACACTCCAAAGAGAAAGGAAAAATTGAAATCGCATCATATGACCTCTTTAAAATCACAATCTTTATGGGCAAACGTGTAGCCCTCGCATTGGGAGTTCTGCAGGGAATCTAATATGTGTGTTTCAACGTAGGTTGGATGTCCAGATATCGGACATGTATCTGATTTAAAACCACATTTAGAAGTGGCTCAGATCGGATGCGGAAAACTCGGAACTCGTGTGGATTTTTGCGTTTACACGTTTGCAACAAATTCCGATCTGTGTCAGATGTGAGCAAAAAATCTGATTTTTTGTGCCAGTGTAAATCCAGCCAGAGTTGCCAGGAGCAAAGTACAGCGGGCAGCAAGATGCCGCCAATGAATACTGCCAACAGCTCAGTTATGACAACCAGGCCGTAGCAGCTACAGGCAACATCAGAGGAATGTATGAGGAGATCAAAAGAGCTTTATGTCCAACTCAGAGTAAAACTGCCCCTCTTAAATACGCAAGTGGGAAACTAATCACTGACAAAGGCAAACAGATGGCGATATGGGTACAATACTAGTCAGAGCTTTACTCCAGGAAGAACGTTGTAAACACCTCAGCACTCGATGTCATTGAACCTCTGCCCATCATGGAGGAGCTAGATGCCTAACCATCATTAGAGGAATTCTGAAAGGCAATTGACTGCCTTGCCAGTGGCAAAGCACCTGGCAGTGATGGCATCCCCCCAGACCACCTCAAGAGCTGCAAGAATTCAGTCCTATAGCTCCTCCATGATGTTTAAAATCCTTTTGAAAATTAGATGCCCCCCAAGGCTTAGAGCCTGATCAGATCATTCCATGATGGCATGAAGGCAACCATCCAGTATGAAGACTGCATATCAGGACCCTCTGACATCAAAAGTGGTGTTAAGCAAACCTTGCTCATACCCTCTTCAACATCTATTTTTCCATGCTCCTGAAACATGCTTTTGAGACTATATTTACACACCTGGGCCCGTATGTATAAAACTTCTCAGAAATGCTCTTAAAAATAGTTTTAAGCTTTGACTTGTCAAAAAATTCTTAGTAAAAAGTAGGACTTTTCTAAGAGTAGGAGACTTTTATAAAGAAGTCAGCTTTCAGTAAAGTCTAAGACTGATTCTTAAGTGTTGACTGAGGTGACACTTAAGTGTTGTGAACTAAGGACTACAATGATGTCAACACAACATCATTTCAGCTAATCGACTATTCAATTTTTTAAAATCCTCGACTTCATTTTGCCTGCGTCGACTAACCTGCAAAATACCGGAAGTGGCGCATTTCACGGACGAGAATCCATAAAACACATTATTAGACTGTTTTCCAAGGCTGCATTATATATTAAACCCGTTTAAAAATCATAATTAAGCACAACTGTGAATTCACAAACGCTACGATTTAATTAAATAATTATATGTGATGCAGTTATAGGTGTGTAGGTTACATACGTGTGTCTCACAGCGGCTCCGTTCACAGTAAAAGCTGTTCCACAGGAACTGTTATGTGTGGAACACGTCTCAATCTCCATCTGTGCATGTTGTCGTGAGTTTGGCTTTATTATAACGTTAATACAGTATATGCGCTTTAATTATTTACATGAG